GACTCTAGGTATTGTTCTCCTACCTCCCAGGTTACAGAGATATATGCAGGTACTTTGCAGCAACCAGAAGGGAACCCGGTCATTGTTTCTAAGGTACCTTGGTTACTGTCATCAATTATGAACTGTTCTCTGAGGCAATTAAGTGGCCTAATTATGAAGATGAAGAATGTTGTGGACTATCAGGTACAGGAAAATGTACATTGCAGGAAAGCTCAGTGTTGTTTTAAAACTTAAAGTAACCTAGGGTGTACTAGTGAGCACAACTGCTTCTTGTTTTTATTAAAGAGGTGTAAAACACTTAAATATCAGTAAAGAAGGAACTGGTTTTTTTCACCCCCCCCCAGGTGGTTCTCAAAGTATGATTAACAGACATTTAAACTTTTGCTTTGTTCTCATGTGTCGAACAACTATAAATTTGGAAAATGGAAAAACAGGAGTATTTTTCTCCCTCATAGAACTGCTCATTATCCCATTTTGAGGAGTTCTGCTTTTAGGCACCAAGACTAAATTTAAATTATATTCATGATAGCGATATGTATATATTTTATGATCAGTAGACCATTGGCTTGTGAAGGTCAGAAGATAATATTTTCCTAAATGTTGTGTTGTGGTCATGTTTGTATAGTTAAAAATAAAAATCTTTTATTACAGTTCAGAAAAATGGCAAAATTGCCAATTTAAGGAAATTAGATGGAACAAAGATGATAGTAGACTGGCTTTAGGATTCTTGATGTACTTATTTTGAATCTGTGGATCTTAAAAACATGTAATCTTTTAACTTTTTAAGAAAAGCTCATTTTACCCATAATCTCATAATCTAAAATAATAGGGAACTTTTCTGGATTGTAATTTCCTTGTGCCTAGGATAGTGCCTGCTACATTGTATGCACTTAAATATTTAATGAAACGTGCGAAGAAACTGTTCTGTGGGCAAGCCAGCCTCTCCATTTTTGGATTGCATTCACAGTGGGAGACGGAATGCTTCTCATACTAATCCTGATTTCGAACTGACTTGTAATTCACTTTGTCCAAAACTACTTTGTACCTTTTATCCCCTTGGCTAAATATTTTCTTGTTTAGTGGCAAAAGCTTTGTAACATAAAATTTGTCATGTTGTTGATTTCAGTGTGCATTTCAGTGGCATTATTACATTCACAATGAAATGCAACCATCACCACTGTTTCCAAAAATTTTCATCACCCCAAAAAGAAGCTCTGTTGCCAGTAAGCAGTAACTCCCCTCTATCCTAACTCAGTCTGCTTTCTGTCTCTATGAATTTGCCTTTTCTAGGTGCTTTACTTAAGTGAATCACTTAGCATGATGTTTTCAAGGTTCATTCATGTGGTAGCATGTGTCAGAACTGCATTCTTTTTATGGTTGAAAAATATTCCATCTGCTGGTCATCTGTTGAGAACACTTGAAATGTTTCTACCTTTTGGCTATTGTGAATAATATTGCTATGAATTTTGGTGTCCAGGTATGTGTGAATCTCTGTTTTCAATTCTTTTGGGTATGTATCTAGAAGAAGAATTGCTGGGTTATATGGTAATTGTATTTAATTTTTTGCGGAACAGTGGTGGCACCATTTTACGCTCTCACCAGCAAAGTATGAGAGTCTAGGTTGTCCACATCCTGGCCGACACTTGTTATATATGTTCTAATTTTTCTGATGATTTAGTGAAATCTCTTCCTTCCTTCCTTCCTTCCTTCCTTCCTTCCCTCCCTCCTTCCCTCCTTCCCTCCCTCCCTCCTTTTCTTATCTTTCTTAGTAGAGGTATCCTAGTAGGTGTGAAATGATAGCTCATTGTGGTTTTGCTTTGCATTTCCTTAATGACTAATAATGTTGAGCGTCTTTTCATGTGTTTATTGGCCATTCATATATCTTGTTTGGCGAAATGTCTATTATGGTCCTTTGCCCATCTTTTAATTGGATTCTGTTGAGTTGTTAAGAGTTCTTTATATATTCTGAAAATTAAACCATTATGAGATACATGATTTGTAAATATTTTCTCCCATTCTGTGGGTTGTCTTTTCACTCTCTTGATAGTGTTCATTGATAAGAGAAAGTTTTTAATTTTAATGAGGTCCAATTTATCTAATTTTTCTTTTGTTTGTACTTTTAAAAATATACTACTTGGTAAGAATTATCACTTAACTTTTGCTCCCTACAGTGTGCCCATGCTTTTTTCTGCCTATGAAGATCTGATAGGCATTTCTAATGCCTAAGTTGCTGGTAGGCATTTTTTACCCAAGCTACTAATGATCTGTTAGCAGTCAGGGTCAGAGTTTTGGTTTTCCTTGCTCTTACTTGTTTAAGTTTGATGGTGGTTTCTTGATTTCTGGTTCTTCGTCTTTCGAATAGTTATTCTATTTGCCAATCTTGACATGCTCTATAGAGTCTGTCAAATATTAAAAGGTTTGAAGAGTCCTATGACCTTTTCTGATGAAAGAGGGACTGACTGCCTATATCTCCTTATTTGATGCTTTTTGTTTGCTGGCTATTATTTTCAATAAGACTGAAATATAACTTAAATTTAAATGTTTTCTGCTTCTAATTGCAGTTCTCTGAAAGTCCGTGTAAGCCAGGGCTAGATGTTGGGACACCAAATTTTTGGTATTGGGAACAATATAGTTTACTGATTAAACATGATATAGAGGAGACGTTTGGAAAAATTACAGATTGGTGAACATAGTGAAACACTGGGTTCATTTTTTCCATAAGAAACGATGATTTTGAAGATAAAGAAAAGTAAATTTTACTTGGCATTTTGTTGGCCTTAAATCGCCATTAACCGGCACCTTTTATATTTAGCTATTTATATTTAATAAACAGTTAGAATGAAGACCTGGAGGCATGACTTTGAGTCTGGCATTAAGTATGGTTTGTTTGTTTTTGGTCTTCTGATCCTTTGAATATTGATAATTCTTTATTCACCAGAGGACTTTCTTTTCTATGCCTCTCCAGTCCGTGGCACAGGCACAAGATGGCAGGTGGTGATGAGAAGTGGCTGCCAGGATGGTCCCTGGATGACTATGCGATGTGTGATGTGAGCACAGGATTATTTTTTTCCTGTTTCCTTCAAAACATCAGAAAATGAGGAGATTGCTAAAGAATGAGGACATAGAAAATTCTAACACGTAAAACCTGCTGGATTCCTACAACTCTGACGTGACAAAATTTGGCAATTTGATTTTTTCCCCCTGCTACCATCTGAAGTTCAAATGTGTTTATCTGAATGTGAGTGATAATGGTAGTGATTAAAGACAGGTAGGTACTTAGAAAATATTTGTATTTAGGGGCCTGTATTAAAAGAAAAAAAAATTATGACTTGTCTTTGCATTTGTCTTTTGGCCATTTCCTTAGAGCTAACTTCATTATTTAATCTCTACATGTTACACCCCTACAGTGCTTCTTGGGGGTATAGTGATCAGTGAAGCCAACATCATATCTCTGTTCTTTTTTGAGTCTTCAACCAGGGAGCATGGCTTTTAGTTTGGTAAAAAATTTTCAATTTTGAATGGTTTTCAGTTGAGGGTCAGTTCAACTGGTATTCAATTGCTGTTAACATTTCTTAATTGCCAGGAATAATAGTGAATATATTTTAATTCTAGACATTTAAGACAGCAAAAAATTTTGAAGAAATTCTTGAAAAGACATTTAGTTTAATGTCTTACCCCATTGGGCTTTTGGTTGTGCCTGTTCTTGGCGGGGTGTTCATATTTGCTGGGGCTGTTTCTGAGGTTTATCTCCTGAACAGGGTCGTGGTGATGGTGATGAGCAGTGACCTGAAGTTTCTTAATAACACAAATGCCCCAGGGACCAATGGAGGAGAAGGAGTGTGTTTATGTACTGAGGCCTCTTCCTTTCCACCTTGAAGGGTGTCAGGCTTAGAAGTCTGGCACTTAGCAGGTTCTCAGGAAGCATTCATCAGAGATAACGAATCTGCCTCCTACCTTTCAGTGGCTCTCATTATCTTAGGCTAAAGTTCAAACTCCTGTTTGTAACTTATAATGCCTTTGGTGATCTGGCCTCTGCCTCCCTTTCCAGCCTCATTGTGCCACTGCTCTCTCCCCGCTCCAGCAACATGGGCCTCCACCTGGTTTCTAGCATAGACTAGGCTTTCATTAGTCTTTTCTATAGCTAACTTCTGTACTCCTTGCTCATCCTCAGACCTCTAGTTCAGGGTTAAATACATGAGCCTCATTTCTCTTGTTCATTGTTGTATCTCTAGCATCTAGAACACTGTTTTGGCACACAGCTGGTGCTCAGTAAATATTTACTTGTTAAGTTAGTAAAGTAAAGTTGAGGTAGAAAATCTGAGATCCTAAAAAGTACAGCTAGCCAGTTCCCTGCTCATTTGGATAAGTTAAAGGTTGACATACTAACTATGAAGACTTCAAGATTAGGCACTAAAAGGATCAAATAAAAACACAATGAATTTCTAAAAACATTAATTATAATTGAAAGTGCAATTCATAGCATAGTTTCAGATTAATTATACCTAATGCTATCAGATGTTTGGTTATGTGGAGACCTGGTTTGTAGACAGATGACAAGTAGGAATTTTAAGTTTTACCCATTTAGGATTCAATATGGAGTTTAAGCCTTTTAAGTGCTTTGTTTCTTATACAGTATATATATATATATGATAATGCTTTGAAATTGCAAATCACAAATGAAGGTATTAATGGTTTGTCTTGTACCTAAGCTTGAAATTTAGGTGAAAAAAAATGGTAAATGTAGGAAAATAGTCCTGATTTAGGATGGAGCAGATACAATAAAATTCTTGTATATTGCTAGGAATATAGTTTCTGATTTTTAATTAGAAAAGTATTTGGTTTAATGGCTTTGGTGTTTTCAAATTTTTGATAAAAGCTGTACCTTTATGTCTTGACTGTGCTTGCCTATCTTTAATTTGAGACGTAAGTTTTTGCCTAAGAAATGAGAAATGGTTTTATATTTTACTTTTTTCAAGGATAGTTGAGGAAGAAGCTTTCTGAAATTGGAAGCCCATATGGATGGTGTGGAAAGTAAGTCTGTTATTCTTAAATAGCTAGTCTCTTGCTCCATGAGATTAGATGGAAGATGAAATAACCTTGCCTTTTTTGCTAAGATGAGTTTTCAGTAAAAGCTTGAGCTGACTAATGCCAGGCTGGCATTCATCAGTTGCTTTATCTGGAAGGGACAACTGGGGTGATTCATTGTGTTCTGTGTGTGTGTGTGTGCGTGCGTGCGTGTGTGTGTGTGTCTGTGTGTGTCTGTGTCTGTGTCTGAATGTGAAAGTGAGAGGAAGTGAAATGTTTTGGTTTTGGTGTTGGCTTGATTTTCTGTTTCATTGTTGACTGGGTGTACCTGGCTTTTTCATTCTGGTTTTAAGTATCCAGAGGTCTTAAGATTTGGGTGAATTAAAAGATTTGAATTTCATTTAGCACTAGGGGTAAGAGCTACTTTTTTGGTTGGCTTTATGTTTAAAATAATGTTTTTCCTTGATTATTCTAGAAAATTTCAAACATATACAAAAGTAGAGTGAATAGTATAATTCACTCTATGAACAAAGGCGATTTATTTTTTTTCACATATAAAGATGAAAGGGCCCCCAAATCACTCTCCCCCTCCCCCCACCCAAATGGAACAAAACATAAATACAGGCTTTGGCTTATTAATAACCCAGAGTTTTAAAGCTTTCGGAGTTTCAGATGTCTTGTCGATCCAGTTATCTAAATGTTTCTTCATATGTGAACAGGGAAGACAGACAGTCTATAAACAGGATTACTGTGAGGATTAGAGAGACTGTTTGCCAGATGTTTGCAAGTCTTGGTAGTAGTTAAGTATTCGAAAGATAAATGTCTCCTTCCCCTTTCGCAATCTCTTAATCACAGCGCGTATTAGCTGGAATAGAGAAAGAGAAGGAAGGAAGCTTCTGCTAGTGTTAGCAGCTCAGATAATCTGGTACACAGTAGAGCGGGCTTGAAGCAAGTAATTACAGCAGAGGTTCCAGAGGATTTCAGTGTTTCTATTACCCCGTCCTTCATTTGAACCCTTGAAATTTAGATTTGGAGGAGCAGGGGTCAGCATGTTTGCGGAGGATATGCCTTCCTGGGCTGTGGTGTTTCCACTGAGGCTCTGCGGAGCTGGAGGCGCAGGTGCTGTGGCGGAGGATGCCCAATGTTCGCAGGCGCCATGGGAGCAGCCGATTCTTGCTGGCGCCTGTACCACCTGTGTTCTTCGGTCCCCTTAGCCGTTGTTTTCTGAGAATATATTGCTACTTTCCATAGCTGTTTCACATCAGCTTTGACCAAAGCCAGGCACAAAGCTTGCAATGCAAAGAATGGCAAAAATACCTCTTTTAGGACTTGTTTTTGGCATAGATATCGTGATGTATGTTTATTAACATTCCCAAGTAGCCACAAATTAAACACCACCACTACCAATTTAATTTTAACATTTTCAGTTTTATTAATTTAACAGTTCTATTATTAAAATGGTAAAACGATCTGCATAGATTGAAGCTATCGTTTTGGGTTGTACTTCTGAAAAACTCTTTTCACTGTGATATTTGAATAAACACAGTAGATAATTTATGTAAGCTTTTTTATCAGAAACATCCCGGAATCATGTTTAATTAGGATCTAACAAATGTTATCACCCTTGCTCTGTCGAACTATATTTTTAACTATTAAATCAATTTTAAGAATAATAAAAGGAAATTCCAATAATTTATAATCTTTTCATCACAAGCATTTTCACTTTTTTGTTTCTGTCTCATCTTTATGTACACACAGATATTTGAAAATTGGCACGTTAGGCATTGCTATGCCGAGAGAATCGATATTAGAAGGGTGGCGGCAATTTAGTAAACGCTGTGTTTGTGCCAAAATAACCTTTTACAATCTCTGTGCTATCACATCTTTTTCTGGTTCTGTGTTTCCTCACTATAACTCAATATAGTGTCTCGATATAAGATTTTTTTGGCAAGGGATTCTTGAAAGGAACGCTCTACAGAAAACTTGCTGTGTTTACCAATATGTAGAAAACTTGATGGGAAAATTCTAGTCCCATTTGGTGTCAAGTTGACTTAATCTCATTCCTAAATATTATTAATAAAATGAAATAGAAGACTTTAAATTTCATAAAATATTCTGTGGCTAATTTAATATGGAAGCGTAATATTTGATCTATTTCCTCTTTTGATTGGATTCTACAATGTAGAAATAGAGGCTTTCTTAGATTCCTATTTGTACTTAGTGATTATTTTTCTCCAGTCTGGTATCCTTTTTTTTCTATAGTTTGTCAAGAGTAACTAAACTTTGAATGATTGAGAAGCTATTCAAAGATATATCAGATCAATTGAACAGAAACCAAAGGCTGAGCTGCCCTGGCCACATTTAAAAACATGTACATTGCTGCCATTATTTCTTTTGTTTTTGCAAATGTAGCTGTGTGACACAGCTTGCCCTTTAAATCTGTAGTTAAAAGAATTAAATCTATAATTAACGTCCATTTATGTAGCCTTCTCTGGGCTGACCTGGGCTTTCCTAACCCTTGGAAGACCCCATCTAGAACAGTAGACAGTGAAAACTCAAGAGTTTGCTTTGCTTCTGAGTAATTGGAAGTGATTTGGTTGAAAGTAGATGTGATATATTTTCTCCATCCTCTTTTTTTTACACTGTATGTACAGAATGGGGATACTGTCGATGTCATGCAATTTGTTCTTTTCTGTAAACATAATTTTATTAAATACAGTTAGTTCCTCATAATGTGACTTAAGCGTTTCTAAAAATCACCATTCAAAATTGTGGATTAAAAACCGTAGTGCTTGCGGAAAAAGTGGGGTTAGGCACACAACGCTCAAAACTTCATAGGTGACACATTAACGAAAAAGGAACCTAGTGAAAACAGTAGTACAGTTTTACGCATGGTGAATGGTTAAGAAACCATAAATAGGGCCCTTTACTTTGAAAAAGATGACGTTTGCTTGTGGAAGTGGGCATCAGAAGGACCGTGACTTGTGAGTTGTTGCGAAGTGGTGGGCAGAGGGTTGTCTGAAGTGGTGCTGAGAGCTGTAACGTCAGATGTGTAAGGGACGCCCACTTGGTGAACTGAGGTCACTGGTAGATGTTTGAGGCGCAGAAGTGTTTGTTCAGCCAGCTGTCGTTTCCTGGATGTTCTTCACGGGCGAAATTGTACATGAGCAAATGAGAAATTCCATTTATGCTCCCAGATAGATCGATTGTGTTGGAACAAATGTGCGTTTTCAAAATAATCATTGTTGCAGAGATGTCTATAAGACAAAATGTGATGTAATTAGTATAAATATGTGAAACTTTTCAGAATGATTTTTAAAAAGCTTTGAAATCTCAAACTTACAGAAAAGTTGCAAGTATAGCACAGGGTCTTTTTCTTGAACCGTTAGGTGGCATGATGCCCCATCACCCTCAAATACTAGCATGTTTTAAAACAAACAAGGATATTTCCAACAAAGGGCAATCCAACCATTAAAGTTAAGAAATTACCGTTGATGCTTTATGGCCATCTAGTCCTTCATCCCCCGTTAAAGTTTTGCCAGTTGCCCTAATCATGTCCTTTATATCAGATGTATCCAGTTCAGAATCATCCACTGTATTTAATCTTCAAGTTTCTTTAGTCTCCTTCAGGAAAATCTGGAAAAGTTCCTCAGTCTCCTTGATGTTCATGACCTTGACACTTCTGAGGATGAAAGGCCAGTTGTTTTGTAGTGTGTGTCTCTCACTTTGGGTGTATCTGATGTTGCCTCATGGTTGGATTCAGATTATGCATCTTTGGCTGCACAATCACAGAATTATTTTGTATTTATCCTCCCGGTGCATCCTGGGACACAGGATTGTGATTTGTCTCATTGCTGATGATGTTCACTTGGATCACTTGATTGAGGAGCTATCTGCCCGGTTTTTCCATTATGAAGTAACTCTTTTCCCTTTTGTAATCAGTATTTTGTGGGAAGTACTTTATATAAATATCTTGTTCTTCATCAAAGTTTTCAATTTATTTCTCTATCGATTTATTGCTCAATTAGTATGGAACCACGCTTTAAAATTTACTTATTTTTATTAGCATGAACTTGAGGTTTTAATGTTACTATCGTTATTTATGTTCATGCTCGAGTGTCCTGAGTAGGCCAATGGGAACCCCTTGGCCCTGGCATCCACCCTTTCAACATGTATCCATCACTCTTGAACACTTTCTTCCTGGCATGACAAGGAGTTCTAGGCATATTTTGTGCTTTCCTTATCCCAGACCTGGAATCACCTATTTCTCCAAAGAACTGGTTCTTTTTAGTGAAGAATGGGTATTTAGAAGCCAAGGTCTGGGTGCTGGGTATACTCCTTACTATTGGATGTTGGGGCTTCTAGGCCTTCTCAATGTACTGAGCTGTGCAATATGTGTATGCATACACATACACACACATAGGCATCTATATTTAGTTCTACATGTATATATATATATGTGGAAAGTTAGGAGTTCACACCAATACCTACAATTTAAATCCAACACCTCAGGGTTCATTCTAGTTTCCTCTTTCCATATTTGTAACTCCTTACTCTGACAGTGAGAATCCTAGCTCACACTTTCTTTAATACCTTTACTTATTTGATCAATCCCTTGTATGTAACCATGCTATTCCGTCCCCAGTCCCTTTTTGTAACCCTTCTCACCCCTAAGTTCTCTTTGCTGGGCAGTCTTCCCTCTGCACCCCCACTTGAGCTCCCACGACCTGCGCCAGGCCCTCTGCCAGCATGCGTGCCCTCCTTACCCACTTGGGCTCTGATACTCTGCACCAGACTGCCCCCTCCTCCCTGTGCGCACACTCCTCTCACCCCTGCTTGGACTCTGGTACCCCACCCTGGCATCCCCCTTTTCCCTGCTGGATGCCCTTCTCACCCATCCTGGCTCAGGGAGCCCTCCTCATCCTGCTGTGCTCAGACATCCCTCTGTGGCCCACTGAGTCTCCGCTGCCCCTGGTAACGGACACCTGTCTAGCTTGACCCCACCT